TTTTTATTGCATTTAAGGCTCATATTAGAGGATAAGTCAGAGAAAAGAAATGGAGAGAGTTGAAAATGATAATAATAATCATGCTTATTTCACATGTGATTATGTATTAATCATCCGATTTAATCTGAATTTTTAAATTTCAGCTACATGAAACGCAAGCACACATGTAGGGAGGTGACACATTAAAGGAAACCATCTATAATAAGAGGTCTCTGTCAGCTGCTATCAGACTGCACCTTGACATTGATTCTCCAAGTCTCTGAACTGCAGTGTTTAGATGGAAAGTCATTCTTTTAAAAGATGCTCCCATGTGTCGGTGTTTTGATGACGATGGTGGCGAGTTCTGTCTCAACATGTCGGTCCTGAATCTGTGAATGTGTGTTTTTCCATTTGCTACATACTGAAGGAGGAGCTGAGGAACATGCAGACAAAATTCAAGGAGACTCTTGAGAAGCAGGAACAGAAATGGGAGAACATGGAGAAAACGTTCAAACAGATTCAGGTGAGGACAGCAGGCCTCCAAAGTGTCGTATCGGTCGAGCTGTAGACACACTGATCCCTCTCATGTGTGCACAAAACAGGAGAAGGCGAGAAAAACGGACGACGACTGCGAAAGCATCATAGTCGGCGTCATCGACTCCCTCCAGAAACATTACTGCTCGGTGAAGGAGATGATCGGAGCTCAGGAGAAGGCGGCAGCAGCTCAGCTTAACGCCTCGCTGCAGAACCTGCAGGAGAAGATGGAGGAGATGAAGAAGAGGGACGCTGAGCTGGATCAGCTGGCACAGAATGAAAACAATGCTGATTTCCTGCAGGTACCAACATCACATCGCTGGAAACTTCTCCTCTGTCTGTGTGGTAGGTCATCTCTCTGTCACTGTGTCTCTTCTCTTCTCACAGAAATGGTCTTCTCTCCGGCTTCTCTGTGAAAAAGACGTCCTCCACCTTTTCCAGGAGGTTCCAGAAGATCCACTTCTCCCCTTTGAGCTGACAAAGACAGCTGTTGAAGAGCTCGGGAGGCAGCTGGAGGAGTTCTGTGACAAAGAGTTCGCGACAATCTTTCAAATCAGTACGTGTCTTCGTTAACATGTGGAAACATCGTCTGCAAACACAGTTTTAATGTTTTTTCTTTTAAATAATAACTGAGTTTTATTATAGCAGACAGTGGAGAGCAGCAGAGCATCAGTCTCTACCTGGGATACTTCACTACTTCTCTACCTGGTGGAGGATGGGTCAGGTGTTACCCAGCTCACTGCCAGGGCACATAAAAAACCTCCAACAAGTAAAATGCTGTTTTCTAACATATATCAACAGAAACTATAAATAACTGGTATTAGTACATGAAGTCTGGATGAAGGAGGTGGTGGCTGTGGCCCAGTTGGCAGCGTGTTGTCCTCTAGTCTGAAGGTTGAAGGTTAAATACCTTTTTTTTCCCTGTACATGTGCTTAACTGGGGCTGCAAGGTGGCGCAGTTGGTTAGCATTGTTGCCTCGCAGCAAGAAGGTTGCCAGTTCGCATCCCGGTGGGGGCACCGGAGTCTCCATGTTCTCCCCGTGCAGCGTGGGTTCTCTCCGGGTTCTCCGGCTTCCTCCCACACAGTCCAAAAACATGTTGAGGTTAATTGGTGATTCTAAATTGTCCGTAGGTGTGAATGTGAGTGTGCTTGGTTGTCTGTCTCTAAGTGTAGCCCTGTGATAGACTGGTTACCTGTCCAGGTGAACCTGCCTTCACCCTGAGTCAGCTGGGATAGACTCCAGCCCCCCTGTGACCCTAGTGAGGATTAAGGTGTAGAGATGATGGATGGATGGATGGATGTGCTTAACTGTGTGATCTCTAATGATTGCAGCAGCTTCTTCAGGAATCGCCCATCATCACACCAGACTAGTCACCAGGCTGCTGTAGCACCGTGTTGGTGGATTTCAAAAGGATCATCTCATCTTAGAGAGTTTAAAAAGAAGAAGTTTGATAGTTAAAAGTTATTTAGCATCCTTATACTGGGAGAAATAATTAGTTGTACATCAACATACTAGTCACTGAACTTCTTTTTTTTTTTTAAAGAATAGCTCAATCTAACTTTGCTTTGATTCTTCTTTATGTTCCTTTTTTCTAGATTTTTAGTCAGTATTAGAACTGGTTGCTAAGAGGCTAACTAGTCCCTGTGAAAACTGTTAAACGTATTAATGAGAAGTTTGTGCAGATTTTCTAGAGCAACATGAGACTCTTGATGAATGGCGGTCAGGGTTCTGGTCTTTGATGGTTTCCTGGGACGTTACCTGAACTGTTTCTTCAGATTTCTTGCTTTTCAGTTCCCTTACTTGAGTTTTAGCACTTTAAAACGGTCTGATGTTGCCTCATAGGTCTTTCCGGAGCGGAACCTGAAACCAGAGCAGACTTCCTGCAGTGTGAGTTTATCATGAGTTCTGTTTTCACCACGACTTCAGCTCACATGCAGGCTCAGCCGACCACTGCTGTGTTCTTAAAGTACTAATTCTTCTGTCCTTAAATCTTCCTCTTTGTTATCTCAGATGCGTGTGAGCTTTCTTTGGACTCCCAAACCGCTCATAAAAGCCTGATTATTTCTGAAGGAGACAAAAAGGTGATGCAGAGCTCTCAGGAATGGAAAAGTCCAGCTCATCCTTACCCGCAGAGGTTCGTCAAGCGGCAGCAGGTTCTCTGCAAGGAGGGACTGCAAGCTGATCGGTGCTACTATGAGGTCGAGGTGGACGGAGACGTGGTAGAGATTGCCCTCGCCTACAAGGGAATAGACAGAAAATCCCAAAATAAACCTTCAGCATTTGGTGCCAACACAAATTCCTGGAGTCTGGATCGATCCAAAACCTACTCTGTGAGCCACAAAGCTGACAGCGTTCTGCTCACAACGCCACCCAGACACCCCAGGATCGGAGTCTATCTGAAGTTTAAAGAGGGAACTCTGTCCTTCTACGAGGTGTCAGATAGCGACGGTATGACGTTCCTCTACAAGGTGGATGCTGAATTCACAGAGCCGCTGTACGCAGGCTTCTGGCTCGGAGACAAATGTTCCATCAGGATCTGTGACCTGACACAGAACCGACCGTAAACAACCAGAGAGGACTGTAGATAGCTCAGGTCCATTTGAGGGGAAATTTAATTTAGAGTTTTGAAATGATTATACAAAAAGCTTCTCTGTATTATTCATAACACAGCAGCCGCTTGGACCCCTCTGGAGCGCCACCTCGTTAGACATATCAAATTATGCAAACTTGCACATTTGGGTGAGCGGGACTGTATTCAGTGATATGATAGAAAATGGATTCACTACTAAAATGCTGTTTTATTGTTACTACAAAACTGCAATATGCGCTTTAATATAGTCAAGTTATAATGCAGAAGATGACTTGAGTAGCTATGATTTTTTTTTATTTAGTTCTGTGTCAGCAGTAGATTTACAGCATTGACACAGGATCAAAGCTCTGTCCCAGTTTAATCGCACATTATACCTGAATAAAGATATGGTAATATTTATAGTGTACTGTTGTTTTTAATTAGCTTACATGAAGCTAACTCCATGAATTGTTTCATACTGATGAGACATGACAAACCTGACAAAGGGACATCCAGATGAGTTCTCAGGAGTTCTCTGGTACAAACATCTTGGACTCAACGATAAACTGAAATTTTTTTGGGCCATAAGTCGAGTACCTCTGACCAAAATTCAGATTACATTTTATTCTTAAAAAGTCAAAATTTACGTTTGGACAGACATGAAGTGCAACTTGACTGGAGGCATATAATGACTGCCACAATAACTCTAGTTTGTCTTCTGAGATGATCCTGGAAGTGATTCATCAACGTTTTCTAGCTTTTTTATTCTGGGAGAACAGTGTCCATCAACAACACCCTCAGAAACTGCTGCAAACTGAANTGTTTTGGAGTGTCTATGCCTGGTTGGTTCACCAGCAGCTGCTTGTCAGTGTGGAAACAATCCTGCAGGACATTCACTCCACTCTCTGTGATGTGTCTCATTGGGTCTTGGGGACCTCAAACTCATCTTCAGTACAGATGTTTCTGTGCATTATTTCAGCCACTCAGTCGTGCCTCTGAGGTTGAGCTGTCCAGTCTTGTATGTCATATCCTGTTACCGTGTGCTGGACTGTCTTGCTGTCTCAGAGATATGTTGCACAGTCTGTTCCTTCAGCTATAATGCTTTGGCAGTAATCTGTCTTGTAGAATGAATCATGGATGAGTCATACAACTTGTAAACAAGACAGTAAAGCATTCAGTGCTAACCTTTAGTCCTTTGGATGGACACCCAGAGCTCTCTGAGATATGAGCGATGATGATTAGGATATTTGTAATTGTCTTAACTCTAAACCTTCTGAATCAGTATAAAACAAAACTTTTTTTTTAAGCATCACCGCCGTACATCCTCCCTCCTTTATTGAATCCACATCAGTTCAGTCACACCCATTTCTTCTCTGACAAAAGGAAACTCCACCCTTGACGTCTGAGTCAGTTGCAGCGGTGAAACCAAACTTGAACCAGCCCGCCTTTTTTAACAAAACATGGCAGAGCCGCACATCGCTGTGAAGATGAACCGCCACCTCTGCTGTCGAATCTGCAACGAGGTTTTCAGGAATCCTGCAACTATTTCCTGTGGGCACAACTTCTGCATGCAGTGCATCCTGAACATCTGGGATCAGATGAACAACGGTCCGTGCAGGTGTCCAGAATGTGGTCATGAGTTTCCCTCCAGACCTCAGCTGATCCAGAACATAACTCTGGCTGAGCTGGTGAGAGACACCGGCGGGAGCGACTGTCAGAAAAGGAAGCAGCAGTGTTCAGGAGGGTCCCAGCAGGAGCCGAAGCAACCTCGGATCAGCACAGAACCATCGGGGAGCCCTTTGTGTATGAGACACAACAGGCCCCTGGATGTTTACTGCTGCACAGATGAGCAGATCATATGCCTCGAGTGTACTTCAGCTGAACATGGAGGACACAAGGTTGAATTGGTGAACGAAGAGTGTGGGAGGAGGAAGGTATGTGAAACAAACACAGAGAGCCACTAGAATCTGTTTATTAACCAGGAAGGAGACTTAATGCCTGTCGTCCTGCTTTGTTGTGAACAGTGAACAGCAGATAAAAGAGTTTGTGATTTTTTTTTCTGCACAATCAGTCTGTAATCCTGAAATTTATCCTGCTACCGAAACAACATGTGAGGAGCTTGATCTTGTTTGTCCTGTTGTACGACTTCACCAACGGAAAAAATACACCAAAGAACAAGACTGTAAATGCAGGCTATGTGCTGCAGTTATGAAACCGTTACAACATAAGGA